CAGCAGTTAGTTAGATATATCACCTCGCCTTCTGATAAACATGATAACCTTGCACAGGGCTTTCTTTCAGCCGGAACTCGCAGGAACTCAGGTGGGTGTCATTGCCATTGTAAGAAAACAAAGGAGGCGTCCATGGTTAGTTCCAGCTCCTCTTTTTCTAGAAAAATAGCACTGTCTAGAGGAGCTATGTCTCCAAACATAAAAGCAGGGAAATAAGTTGGGTGTGATCTCTATGATACAGTGGTACCTCGGGTTACATACGCTTCAGGTTACAGACTCTGCTAACCCAGAAATATTACCTCAGGTTAAGAACTTTGCTTCAGGATGAGAACAGAAATTGTGCAGTGGTGGCGTGGTGGCAGTGGGAGGCCCCATTAGCTAAAGTGGTGCTTCAGGTTAAGAACAGTTTCAGGTTAAGAACGGACCTCCAAAACAAATTAAGTTCTTAACCCGAGGTACCACTGTATAACTAATGGGCCTTTGTGACTTTGCCTGACACATCCCTGCTGGTTTGGAGATATAGCTCTGTGTGTGTGTTTGCGCATGCATGCCCTAGCACACTGGGCACAATAATTCTCACAATCTGCTATGCCAGTGGATATGACCGTGGTGTTTGAGTGTGTATTATGTCAGGAGCAGGCAGGGGTGTCAACTTGAATAAAAAATTGGGGAAGTCCATGTAAGACCCCCCCGCATAATAGATCACATGATACAGTGTATGCATACCATTTTAATGACTATGCCTATCAACGGGGGAGGGGGGGCGGCTGGGCCCCTCAGATATTTTAGGGGGGGTGGAAGACCCCTCAGACCCTAGGAGTTGGCTCCTATGGAAGCAGGGATGTGCAACTATCAGTTTCGGTTTCTCTTAAGTTCAGTTCTCTACATTTCTACATCAATTTACCATTTGTTTTATGTCCCCATGAAAAGTCATCAGTGAACTTATCCTAATAAACACTTGCCCCGCGAAAGCAATTTCCCCTTTTCAATGAACACTCCCCCCCCAAAGCAATTTCCCTTATTCAGTGCACTTTTGTATTATTTCCACCCCCACTAACGATGCATTTTTGTACACGTGGCTTGGCTTGAGAACTGCACTGCAAAATTTGTAGAGATGTGAATTTCCAAGGGCGGCTGCGCTTCGGTTCATGTACAGTTTTGGGAAATCGATTCACCTTTAAATGCAAAGTGCACAGAACTGCCCCCATCCCTTCTCAGGAGGAGCGGAGCCTGTGGGTGGTGTCAGGCTTCCGTATCTGCAAGTAGAAAAGTCACATGGCCTTATTCTGAGTTCTCTTGTGGGAGTCCGTGCTGTAGACACAGCCTTGGGAAATGAGCCCAGAGTGGATTGCTTTTCAAACAGTCTGGGCTACACCTGTATTTTGCCCAACTTCACCACTGTTGTACCTTCCTACTCAGTTGTTAATATATAAAAAAAGGACAAAGGTAATCAATGTGTTAAAAAAACAACACCACAATGCAATTTCTTTCAATGAATCCTTCACTGATGAGCTCCTAATGAGACTGACCTTTAGAAGCCAATTAGCCTCGGTAAAACAGCATAATCACATTTAAATAATGCTTTTTCTTTATCCAAACGAAGCTCTTTGTCATTATGCAAGTTTAAAGAGCACAAGCTACCTAATTGTTCCACGCATGGAGGTCTGTTACCCTCCTGGGCTGAGCAAGCCACTAGGTGGTCACAGCAAAATGAAATCGGAGAGGACAGATGCCGAGTCTGATTGGAGACGGGTTTCTTAAGTTAATTTTGATCTGCTCTGGTTCAACTCTCTAAGGAGATGTTTCCGCAAGGTGGGAAAGAGACTTGGTCAGATCAGGCTCGTTGCCAAATTAAAAAAGATTTGTCCTTAGCATCTTCGTACTGAGCAAGGGATGGGGAACCTGTGGTCCTCCAGGTGTTGATGGACACAGCTCACAGCATCCCTGGCTGTTGCCCAGGCTAGGGGGGCAAACAGGGCTGGAGCCCACAAGCATTTGGAGAGTCATGAGTTAGTCATTGCTGCTCTACAGAGAAGACTCATTGTGCAAGTTGTTGTATAAAATCTACGGTAGAAGCTGCAAAGGGAAAAATAATACAAAAGTGCATTGAATAAGGGAAATTTCACAGAACTTGCAAACAACCTGTAATCACTGAATTTTTCCGTGTATGACGAGGTTTTTTTTAATTTTAAAATTATGTAAAAAATTACGGGTTGTCTTATACACAGATAGTGCAGAGGGTGGAAAGGCGATTGGTTGCTGCCGCAAGCAGGAGATTGTCAGCGGCGATAGGGCGGGTGATTGGTGGCTGCGGCAATGGCTCCTGTCGATAGGCTGGCACTGCGGCAATTTGGCAGGCGATTGGTGGCTGCTGGCAGCGAGTGGGCAGTTGATTGGTGGCTTTGTCGGCACTTGCTATTGTCAGCATTGGTTAGTCGGGTGAGCGATTTTAGGCAACCCCCCAAAAAAGCTGAAAAAAGTTCAACAGCTCTGGGAGCAATCCTCCCCCCAAAAAAAGATTAATGACTCTTGGCAAGCTCCCCCCCCCCATTTTCTTAATTTGGAGTCCCCAAAAAGAGGGGGTGTCTTATACATGGGGGCATATTATACACGGAAAAATACAGTATTTTAAATAAAAGACTGCATCTTCAGGGCTTCGTTCCACCGAGTACTGAATGCTCTTATCTGCACATGTGAATCAAGAGCACGCCGAGTCCAGTTTTTGCTCACAATTAAGCTTACTTTGTCACTTTTGCCTTTAACCATGATACCCCCACCCTCAGGGTGTGTTGTAGATGCTTATTATCTGTCTTTTAATGATTAAAGATTATTCATATCCTGAGCGTCTCCACCCTCATCGTTCTACCCGGACACTGAGGTCCAGCGCCGAGGGCCTTCTGGCGGTTCCCTTGCTGCAAGAAGCGAAATTACAGGGAACCAGGCAGAGGGCCTTCTCGGTAGTGGCACCCACCCTGTGGATCGCCCTCCCATCAGATGTCAAAGAAATAAACAACTATCTAACATTTAGAAGACATCTGAAAGCAGCCCTGTTTAGGGAAGTTTTTAATGACTGATGTTTTAATGTACTTTGTTGGAAGCCACCCAGAGTGGCTGGGGAAGCCTAGCCAGATGGGGGGGTATAAATAATAAATTATTATTATTATTATTATTATTATTATTATTATTATTATTACTATTATTAATCCTGCTGTTGCAGATAAGAGAGCCAACAGTGTATAGTGATTAAAGTGCAGGGCTGTAGCTAGGGGGTGGTGAGGTGGGCCCCCGCCAGGGGTGCAGGCGACTGGGGGGCGCAAAATCGGCTAAAAAAAAGTCCATAAATATAAATATTGATTATTGCATCATAAGAAATGGTTTTATGAACGGGTGGAGGGGGGGTTGGAGGAGAGGCAGAAAGAAGAGCTAATTTGTCTGTGGCTAGGGGGTGCAATCTGGACAGTTCTGCCAGGGATGCAAGATCACTTAGCTTACAGCTCTGCTAAAGCATCAGACTAGGACCATGGAGATCAGGGTTAAAATCCCTACTTGTCCATGGAACTGACTGGGTGACCTTGAGCCAATCACTATCTCTCTCTCTAACCTACCTTACAGGGTAGCTGGGAGGATGAAATGAGGTGGAGAAACATGTTCTTCACCTTGAACTCCATGGAGTAAAGGTGGTCTATAAAATGTAAGGAACAAATAATAATGAACAAAATCTTAACATCGCTACCAGTGAATATTGGCCAGCTCAGACTAATCTCTGTGGAAAGGGTCATGGCTCATATGGCCTAGAAAGTGTCCTCAGCTGATTTTAAAGGTCACAGAAGGTCACAGAGATGGCCATGGTTTCTGGGGATGTCCAAAGGTGGAATTCATTCTGAATGCTGAAGTACACTCCAGCGTTATTATTTTATTCTGGATTTCCCAACACATTCTGAAATGGTGGATCCACCCAGTCCTGCCATTCATGCAGATTTTAACTAGGCTTAGAGATCATAGCTTGCCCCAAATCAACTATGGAATTCAAGCCTTTGAACCCAGGTCTGTTGGAATCAGGAATACAGGAACCCATGCTGAGTTAGGCCGTGGGTCCATATAGCTTAGTGTTGTCTACACTGACCGGTAGCAGCTTTGTAGGGTTTCACACAGGGTTCACAGCCTGACCTGGGACCTGCTGCAATACTCTTGCTAGTAGGTCACACCATTTATGCTTTTCCAGGCCACGTGTTACATTGACATTGGGTTACTTGCTCATTCCTTGACCATCCTCAAGACTCACACTAGACCACATCTGCCTTCACCTCAGCTTTTGCCCAAACAACCTGATCATCTTGTGGATACCTCCAGGTCCTGCAGAGCTGTTTCTTTCCCACTTGAGCCAGAGGCTCAGGGACAAGAAGAATGGTTGTTCCTGCTAAGGCCTCCAAACACATTCTGCTAACAGTTTGGGGGACAAAGAGCCAGGGTGGCGTTCTTTGAGAAATTCCCAAGCATGATGGCATGAGAAGAGCAAGTCCTTCTGTCTTCTGCTTCCTCCTTTCATGGCTATAAGGAAACAAGGAAATTTGACCCTAAAGGCTGAAGCAACAAGGGTGCAATGAAAGAGATGGAGGTGGCGTGAGGCTGCCATAGTGCCCATTGCATCTGAAAAGAATGATGCAACAGCAGTCAAGTCCCATCCTGTTTCCTTCCTCCAGCTGGGATAGTGCAGAAAAATCTGAAACTTGAAGCAGGCACACAGAGGAAGGTGACTCATTTGAATGGGGTGTATTAATACTTAATAAATGTGTCATCCATAATAAATAAGAACTAGCCCACCCACAAGGGCACCAACTGCTCATGAATACCAACGGGAAGCAAAAGCAATCCCAGAGGAGCTGATCTGATGGTGCCCTTTCAGGGGAGGAAAGAAAGATGATGGCTCTAACATTGTAATTGTACAGAAAATAATTAGCGGAGAAACAAAAGATGCACACACTTCTAACCACTGTTCTAGGCTTCCCAACAAACACCCCACCGCCACCGCCAAGTCTAGGAAACATGTGCTTCTGTCTGAAAAGTGGCACCTTGGTAAAGTGATTCATGATCTGGTCATGTCCAGACTAGACTACGTAGGCTACCTTTAAAAGACGGTTCAGAAATCTCAGGTGGTCTAGAATGCAGCTACCAGAGACCTATTGGAGCAGCCAGTCATGTAAATTCTCCTTTCTCCACAGCGCTTAAAAGTGTTTAACTGGACTGTGCGCAGCAAATTTTCCCTCCAGATATTTTACAGGTATTATGTATTCCTCACTACAGCATGTTTCTTTATTATCTCTGTGTGCACATTCCCCCCAGAACTCCAAATACAAAGGCACTGTGGCAGTTTAATCTCTGTTTGCCAATCACTGAAGACCTGACAGGCATTTCCAGAGGGAACTGTGCGCATTGAACTATAGCTCCTGCTACAACAGTACTGAGATTTTCATAGGAAAACAAGAAGTTTATCTGATGGTTCTGAGCTTCTCCAAAGAATAATAAGGGAGTAACTCCTCCCCGCAATCTTGTGATGCAACAGAATCTTAAGTATGGAAGAAATTTAATACAGAGGTGAAGGAACTTCCTTATCTGTATTCCTCCTGCAGTCCTTCAGATCTTAGTTCTCCCTACTTCACACACACAGTAAACCCATCTCTTTCTGAACATGTTCTCTCTCTTTCGGATCTTCTGGTTTTGCCTCTTGCTCTGTAATTTCCCTGCCTCATCAGTGGAGCCACCTGAAAAAGATACAGCAGGGATCAGCAAAGCAGATTCTGAGAGAGCGAGCTCTTTCTCAAACATTACACTTTCCCAAACCGAAACATTTTAATATTTCATGTTTGCACCCAAATCCTAAATATATTTACTCAGAGGAAAGTAAAAAAAATGATTTCCAGAAGATATACATCAAAGTAAGTACATTAAGGGCAGGAGCCTTACTTAAAAGCTGTTTTGGGTGGGATTTGCCCAGAAAAGTGGCATATAAATATGTTTTGGATCGAGCTGTAGTGCTTCAGTGCTGTCAGAAATGTGTCTGACCTCTACAAATTGAGCCACTGAATCAGCTGGCATACCAGGGTTCTGCCTAAGCCACTTTCCTCCCTCTGTATTTTTTGCTCCTTACACCAGCAGTGCTCCACTGGCACAGGCGTGTCCCTTTGTTAGGGTCTATTCCCCAAGCACTACCACTGTTCTACCACGCCGGGTTCTGCAAGCATAAGAGCAGTGAGGGGCTGGAATGAAGAAGATGGAGAAGACAATTGCTCCAGATAAGAAACAAGAACCGATAGATGGAAATTGCAGATAAACAGATCTCTGCTAAATGTTAGCAGAAATGTAAGAGCTCTTCCTGTCTCAGGAGGTAGAAGTTCCTCCTTCATTGGAGGTATTTGAGCAGAGGCAGTGTCTGCCAGGGATGCTCTACTTTCATATCCTTCATTGTGCTGTGGGTTGGACTACCTCACCTCCAAGGTCCATTCCAGAACTATGATTCTATGACAGGAATGAGTCTGACCCCATTCAGCAGGCGTAACTCAGGAAAAGAATCAGCCCACCAGCCGCTCATTATCACCACTGTCTCATGGCGACGAACTGTGATTGTGTTCCTCATGCTGACAACAATGCTTTTGTGAAACAAACTCATTCCAGATACATTCATCTGGTCCACAGCTTTTGTCCCTTCCCGTGTCCCCTGCTGCTGACAGAGTGTCTAAACATTTAATCATCCTGCCTTCTCCGGCAAAATATATGACTTGTCTAAGAGCAGGACTGATGCATCTCTGTGTTGTCAGCAGCGGGGAGGAAGTCAATTGCACTAGCTATTTGTCGGGAGGCTTCCTGTTCAGGGAACGTACCTGCTAACAAGAGCAAGCTTGCCTCAAAACGTAATGCACGTATGTGATCCTCTGGCATTGTGCACCTCTGGGCACCTCTCTGAATGCTGCTTTCAGTTAAACCTTCTGCGTTTGTGGCAGTTGTTTTCTTCAGTTCAACTGAACTCACTGGCCTGTTAGGGTCCCTGTTTCTCTGAAAGAGGCCCACACACATCTGACCCTATTTGTGTAGGTCACCTTCACACCAGTGCCAATTTAGCAGCTGCTGGGTGTTTGTGGTGAGCAATCCCACTGCCTCCTCATACACTTAGTGAACCTGTGAAGGGAATCATGATCTGAAGGATGTCAGGCCTGGCCCTACCATGAGACAGGCAGCAGCCTCGGGTGACAGGTACTGAGGGGCAGGAAGTGGGCAGGCCTCTGTGTGCCCCCTAAGCTGACCTGATGCCCTTAGGGGCAGTGGAGGACGCTGCCCCATTGCCAGTGTCAAATGACAATTCAGTTGCCAGTCTGAATTGGGGCACAGAAGCCATCTTGTCCTTTGCTTCTGTCAGCAAAGTGTCTTGCACTGACCCTGCTCTGCTGACAGGTGAAGGGACGTCCAGTTCTAACATCAGGGGTGTCAGCTTGAATAAAATATGGGTGGGGCAGGAAAGCCCCACCCCGCATAATCGTTCACATAACACAGTACACATGCACCATTTGAACGGCAATGCCTATCAACAAGGGGGGCTTTTATTGTTGTTTAGTCGTTTAGTCTTGTCCGACTCTTCGTGACCCCATGGACCAGAGCATGCCAGGCACTTCTGTCTTCCACTGCCTCCCGCAGTTTGGTCAAACTCATGCTGGTAGCTTGGGGGGCAGCCCCCTCAAATATATATATTTTGGTGGGGCCAAAGAGACTGTGGCCTCTAGGAGCTGGTTCCCATGTCTAACACAATCCTTTATGGGTCAGGCCTCTGGGGAATTTTAATGCAAACGTTCACATGATGTTATAAGAAATGAATTAGCATATAGAGACTTTCTGGAGTAGAAACCATAATTGAGCTCTGTATACTTCCTCAATTATGAGGCGAATGGGGGTGACTCAGGTGTGGTTTTCTCAGGCCAAAATTAGATTATGCCGCTAACATGGCGTCTCAAGTCAGTTCAGGGATTTCCTAAAGTCCCACGACACTCTTTGGACTTGGGTACACAACACAAAAATTGCTGCATTGTTAAAGGGACCACTTTAATTTTTTGGGTGTGTAAAGGAGTGAAAGCAAGCTGACTAGGGAAACACACTGAGCAGGTGAGGAAGAGAGTGGGAGAGGTAGGGGAATCTTTCATTTTGACAGTGAGGTCTATCTAGCATACCCTCCAACATTTCTCCAGTGAAAATAGGGATGTCCCATTCCATAATGATAATTTTACTATTTATAACCTACATATCTTACTGGGTTGCCCCAGCCACTCTGGGCAGCTACCAACATATATAAAAACATAATAAACATGAAACATGAAAAAAACTTCCCCATATAGGATTGCCTTCAGACAGCTCAGGGGTCAGATAACTCCATACCCTCCAACATTTCTCCAATGAAAATAGGGACATCCTAAGGAAAAGTGGGACATTCCAGGATCAAATCAGAATCAAGGACATCCTTGGAAAATAGGAACACTTGGAGAGTCTGGTCTAGGTTTTAACTACAGCGAATTATTTTCTTTCTTTCTTCAGTCACATTGATTTGGGGGAAGAATGTTTAAATAAATGTTTTCAATTGGCTCTATGCTGGTTTTCCCCCCCACTTCCCCTTCCTCTTGGCAAGTTAAAGGGGAGATTGCTCTCTATCCCTGAATTGTTCATTAGTTCAGTGGAACTAACTCCCGGTTTGGGTAAATGGGTATAGAATTGCATTTTCCTGGGAGTTACTGGTAGTTTGCCACTTTTCCAGGTAATAGGAATCCAATTGCAGCTATTGCCGTTTTAAAAATGAATAGACAGATGCAATGTAGAAAACACATTCCTGTATGAAAATATTGTTAGAAAAAAGATATTAAAATGTTAGTTTAAAAAAATATATCAGATTGCTGCAAGTGATGGGAACTGTGAGTGCAGTGGGTTTGTTTTTATGTTCTGTTACAGAGATAATAGACATTTATTGAGGGTTGTAAATTTTAAGGGTGTACTGGGAAGGGCTCTGTGAGGAGTCTCCTGACAACTCTTAGCATCTTTAGCAAACCACAGTTCCCAAGATTCTTTGGGGGATGCAATGACTATTCAAGTGTGTCAGAGTGATTGAAGCCTATGGTGCGGATGTGACCTCAGTTTTTAGAACAGGCCCTTTTCTGGGGTTGCAAGGGTGTTCACTACTTTTATATTTTAATGTTAACTTTTAACATGAAATGTGTTTTTTTACTGTAATTATCACAAAAGCCCTGTTAGCTTGGCTGTGAATCCTACATTGTATGTATACGTGACCCAGTTTTAATACTCCTGTGTATCAGAAAGTTTACAATATTGTGTTTCTGTTGCAGCATATCCAGACATAGTACACTGTTTTCTAGAATAGGACCAAAAGCTTTAAACATGTGAGTGTATAAAACATTCTGTGTTCCCTTCGCTGCTCCATCAGCAAGTGGAATGGCTATTGCAATTAGTGAGAATGTAACTCTGGAAGTCAACCATAAAAGTGCAATTCCCGGAGGCCTTTCCCCAGTGAAAGTTTCATGCAGGCCATGCAATATTAACAAAACACAGCCACCTCAAAGCATAGAGTCAAAAACCTCCATGTGTTCAGTTTCCTTCAGCTATAAAGGATTTTACTCTGCAAAGTTCCTTCAATATATCTGAGAAAGTAGCAAACAACAGGTTCCCTTCTGGCTACAGAAGAGGTTCATGGCCACTAGTAGCTCAGATGAAAAACCAAATAAGCAGGGATTGCTGGCAGTTCAACACTGTTACAGGGATTGCTGGCAGTTAGTAGGGTTAAATTTGCTGAAATACCAGTTTATGGTGGCTTGGAGCTAATTTCACTGTCATTGACATATAACCAGGAAGGAGATCATCTGGCCCTATAGATTCTGTTGAATGGCTGCAATTGGCTGAGCCTGATGATTGGAGTTATAGTTCAGCCAATCTGGCAGACCAGAGGTTTCCCACCACCACATTGTAAGGTTGTCTGCTTCTTGTCTAGATATGGTGCCTACAGATCACTTTGCTGTACTAAGGGACTGGATATCTTGAGCCACCCAGTCTTGAAACGTAACTCTTCAGGAAGCTGTGGGCTCCTATCAGAAGTGATTGGCCTCCCTACGATCCCTTACAATATTCACCCCAGTCTGGTATAAATGTTTACAGGAATTTTGAGAAGTAGAAGGACGGCTATTTGTGTTCCTAAATTACTCCCTAGGTTTGGCTATTCCATCCCTGTAAAGCTATTAACCTGACTGCTGAAACTTCCTGTTTCCTTCCAGGCTGGGACAGACTTCCTCTACATGTGACCAGAGGTGGGCGTGGCCTCGCCTGTGCAGGTAACAAAAGCATAGGACGGCCGTCATCTCTCTCTGACTACATTCGTCAAAGAAGCAACATTTGCTTAGCTGAAGATTTTGTGGACTACAATCTACCTCGGCAGATGCATGAAGTGTCATCCTGAGTTACACAGAGACAGACTCGGGAGGTCAGAGAGAAATCCAATGCCAAAAAGTACAGACAATAATAATTATGAAATCAGTAGTAGTGCTGTATTTTATCCCAGATCAGTTCACAAGTGAGAGTATTGAACTTATTGATGTATTGTAATTCAGCAGTTCCACTTTTCAGTCTCCCTTTGAGATTCCTTTGTTTCAGGATGGCCACTCACTCTTAAAGTCACATATAGGGTGTCCTGGTGGTTGAAATGTTTTGACACACTGGCTTTTGAATATTGCCATTTCTGATGTCAGATCTGTGTCCATTTATTCTTTCATGTTTATCCTATCATTGCTGGCACATGTGTGACATGGGAAGGTGAGCAGTTTTGTTTCCTGTGCTGTAAAAAGAGCACTATAGTGACCTTCTTTATGAGCCCTCTGATAATTCAATACACATCATGAAGTTCTAACTGAAAGAACTAGATGCAGCCTATCTCATGTCTCAGAGGGGCCAGCGCAGCATGGACAATCTAAGTTGTGACTGCAGGGATCTCACTTCTCATCCCAGCTCTGCTATCTTGTCATTATATTCATCTGTGACTAATGGTTCTGGTTCTGGTCTGATAGGCTACAGTCTGTCTCCCCTGCCCAAGAAAGCACAAAGAGGATATTGGCAGGATGATCAGTGATTGATCTGTCTAGATAACAGTGTATGTATCTATAGCTATATATATATCTGCAGCCAATGCCCTTGTTAAAAAAACAAAACACTGTTTTTGCAATTTAACCTCTACTGAAAACAGGAATTGTGTCCCTACCTTGTTCCCATTCATTTTGTTCCTTATGGGTTGCCCCACTACTTCTTTTGGCATGGCAGCCAACCCCACCCCTTGGCCCATTTATCTGCTCCAGATCTGTCTGCTCTGAATTTTCCTGCTCAGGGTTCTGCCCAAGACTCCTTCCCTGGCCCCAATCCAACCATGCCACATGGTCTGAAGACAAAGGAGGCCACCAACTCCTTGATGAAGCAAAGCCAGTCAGGGTCTGGCCATGCCTGGGAATCACATGTATACCTTCGGTGCCTTGGGTTCCATGAAGGATGTGAGATAGGAATGTGAGAAAGTGAATCAAGCAAAGCCCTTGATCTTGGGCATCAGTGACGATGAGGAGAGTCTTTGGGACTTGGCTTCCCTTGCACCGCTTTGCTGTGTTTCTGGTTTTGCATCACAGTCCCCAACCGAGAGTGTGGGAAGCAGCCATCTGGGCATGCTTGGAAAGCGCTTCAGAAATGGCAAGTAATATTCATAATAGATTTCACGGCAATTAATTACTCATGAGACTTCTAGTTTCCTCCGTGTTCTGTTCCTTCCGAACAGCAGCGTTGTGCAATATATCCTCATCATACTTCAAACGCTTACACAACTGGGCTCCGCAAGAACTAGGTCACGTGGGAGGAAGCTGCTTCTTCCAAGCCGGAAAAACTTTTCAGAGAGGTCAATAGTGCTTTCAAAGCTGAGATGTGGAACAGGATCATTCTTCTCCCAACCTGCAGAAATGAATGTGTACGTTCTCCGTTGCTTGCTCAATGGATCAAGGCTTAAAAGGAAATATTTGCATGTTGGTAGCATGGAAGAGGCAATAGAGTCCAGCAACCGTTTGAAAATAGTATTGCTCCTGGATGTACCATATTCAAAAGAATATGAAACTTGCTTTCTTGTAAATATTTTTTTCTAATCCATGGCCTGTCTAACACATGTGCTTTTAAAGGTTGTGATCCTATGGATACTCTCCTGGGAGTAAATCCCATTGGAGTCAAAAGGACTTACTGTATTTTTTGCCCTATAGGACGCACTTTTCCCCCTCCAAAAATGAAGGGGAAATGTGTGTGTGTCCTATGGGGCAAATGCAGGCTTTCGCTGAAGCCTGGAGAGCGAGGGGGGTCTGCTAGCCGTGGGAGACGCAGCTCTCCCACGGCTAGCGGAGAGCTTGTCTGCACCCAGAAGCTTCAGGCTTAGCTGTGCTAGCTGTGGCTCCCACGGCTTGCGGAGAGCTGCCTGTTCTGGGGGCTGGGGTTGGGGGAAGCTCGGGCTTCCCCCGCCCCAGCCCCGCACCTGGGGGGGAAATAATTTTTTTTCTTTATTTCCCCCCCAAAAAACTAGGTGCGTCCTATGGGTCGGTGTGTCCTATGGGGCGAAAAATACGGTACTCCTGAGTGGACATTGCACTGCATAGAACCAGCTGAGAACTTTTTATCAGTATGTATAATTGCTGAGCTGTCTTGAGCCTGCTATGTTAATAACTTTGCATCTGTTTGGTTAGATTTATTTTTAATTTGCACTTTCAAAAAGGTTTAATGAATGAAAAATAATTCTAAAAGAACTATAGTTTGATGGGAACCTCATTTCAAATATCTTCTAAAACATCAGGTTTCTGCATGCCTAGTTATCCAGTTTTAGACGGCTCCTGTCTTCCCCAATAGTTTTTCCTATGCATTTAAGCAATCCAAAAGTGCTATTTTAGGTTTAAGACGCAACTTTGTTGTTGTTGTTGGGGATCAAGCTGCTACTATGGAAAAATCAGAGGTCGAAAGAAGAATATGCTTTGCAATAACTCAGCTATTCTGAGTTAAATTCCTTTCATAGATCTGTTCTTTGCTGCATAATTCTTTACAAAGCTGACTCATCAGGACACAAGAGCACTTTGACTGACGATATTGAGTCTGCTTTTGTACAGGCTGTGCATATTTCTGCAGCTAAGTAGTTAAAAGTCCTTTCCAATAAAGAAGTTTCATTATTATCAATTATTTACTCAGCGCTGGCATTATGACGGATAGGGCTGCCCAAGGCAGGACGACACCGAAGCTTCCACAAGGATCTTACTGTGCTGCACCAAAAAAAAAATCCCCACCAGTAAATAATGAGCGCGTGAAGTGTGCTGAGACACGGAGACTGAGCCCAGATTGATTTACTTCTGCTTGCTTATCTAACAAGAGGCATAGTCTTAAGATGCAGGCTTCTAAGATGTTTAACAAGTAAAGCCAGGACTACAGAACTGGCGCTTAAAGACCTGGTGCCCATTGGGACTGGTAAGGCAGAAGGCAGGGAGAAATACAGTAGATGAAGTCAGAGCAAATGAATCATAGAACTGTAGAGTCGGAAGGGACCTCAGGGATCATCTAGTCCAACCCCCTGCAAGGCAGGAAACTCAGCTCAAGCATCCAGGACAGATGGCCATCCAACCTCTGATTAAAAACCTCCAAGGAAGGAGAGTCCACCACCTCCCAAGGGAGACAGTTGCACTGCCGAACAGCTCTTATCATCAGAAAATTCTTCCAGATGTTTAGTCAGAATCTCCTTTCTTGTAACCTGAAGCCATTGGTTTGAGTCCTCCAGAGCAGGAGAAAACAATCTTGCTCCCTCTTCCATGTGACAGCCCTCAAGATATTTGAAGATGGCTAGCATATCTTGGCTAGATGCAGATCAGCCCACCCCTGAGTGGCTGTAAATAATAAATAATAATAATAATAATAATAATAATAATAATAATTTATTTACACCCCCGCCCATCTGGCCTGGCCTCCCCAGCCACTCTGGGCTGCTCCCAACAGAATATTAAAAACACGATAAAACATCAAACGTTAAAAACTACCGTAAACAGGGCTGCCTTCAGATGTTTTCTACATGTCAGATAGTTGTTTATTTCCTTGACATCTGATGGGAGGGCGTTCCACAGGGCGTGTGCCACTACTGAGAAGGTCCTCTGCCTGGTAGCAGTTTGAGGTTGGTGTGGGACTGCCCTTTTCACCCTAATGGAGCACCTTCCATTGACAGAGCCCCTTGTAGTTTTTAGGGTGGAAGGGATAGCTGCCCCCCATCTCATACACCCACCCACACCCCACAGAGTGTTTCAGCTCATATGCTGCTCACCTTTCAATCAAGAAGAGGAGGCCATCCTTAGATTTAGTCAACCCTTTGAGGATGCTGGGTACCTTTCTGATCAACCAGCCAATGGAGGTTCCTTGCAAGCTCCTACAAACCCTCTTGCAGTTTTTCCCAGCGGAACTTCAAATCCATAAGTCAGCCAGGTGGCCCAAGCACCCAAGTCTAGAGGAAATGGAGCCGCTACAGAAGGTGCCCTCAGAGCTGGAGCTGGAAATGAGTCTACCCATGGGGGGAAAGCGATAGGAAGATGGTGGTATATGCAATTTGGTGACATATTTTCTATTCTGCCAAACCTTTTAGGGTGTAAGAATTTTTCCACTGACCTTGCTGTATGTTTTCACTGGTGTTTCAAGTGGTTTCGCTCTCCTTCTTCTTGTATTTTGTATTATTATAATCATATATTGGTTGGCATCTTTGGCTTTCTTTCGAATGAAGGGTGGGGCATACCTTCATTGAAATAAATAATAAATAAGAGAAATAATAAATAAAAAGACAAATAATGCCCAACACATTTTAGTGCCTGATATGAAAAATCCAAGTGGAATTCCCCTACCCTTGAACTCGCACGCAGCAAAGTCCATGGGGATCTTTTCCTGTGCAAGTCTCATTGAAATGAACACGCACTGCATAAGAGCACTCCTCATGTGTTCCATGTGTTGTCTATAGAACTGGGTGTCCAATTTTTTTAAAATGTTATATATGACTCTGTCGCGGGGGTCCTAATGCCGGCTTGCAGCAGGGTTTCTCTTAGTCCAAAAGCCAAATTAGGCAAGATTGCCCTTATTGTTTGTGCCCTAAACTTGTGGTTAGTGGACACAGTGAGATGGGCTCCCGCCATGCCTAGTAGTCTACGAACGTTTCAGATAATTTAAAACTCTGAAAGTGACAACCAGGGACAAAGAGCCTGAACCAAGTTTTTCTGTGAGTTGTTGTCACAACTTTGCATTCCAACATCATGTCAAACTGCCAAGCGGAGAAAGATGCATGCTTCATCCTGGCAGGCAGCGGAGCTGACATTCCTAATTTGGCCATGACATTTATAGGCTTTGCCAATCTGACACAGCTAATTGCAGGCTTGGCCGGTGTCCCAGGGCCACGGTGTTACTATGCTTGGTCTTGTAGCTGTGAGTCTGTCTCACAGCTCAACAGATCACTGCCCCCACCCCTTCTTGACTCTTTGTTATCAGATGCAGCACTCTGCTCTCTGGCCTTTTCTGAGTTGTTATTTAGGGGCCAGGGTAGAGGGGGGATGATGGCACATCTTGATGCCTCCAGAAGATGGAAAGCCATTGAACTTGTGGATGAAATGAATGGCAGGGCTACGAAAAAGCATTGTCTTGTTTAAACAGGTGATGTCCCTAGGAACCTGTGGCCCTCCAAAT